ACCCCACATGGCAGGTCCCTTTCATCTCGGCTTCCGATTGGTCGTCCAAGATAACGCGTTTTCCACATAGGTCGCGATGGACTTTCGCCACAAACGAGTGCCGCGGTCTCTTGGAAGATATGCAAGCTGCGCTTCTGAAAGCTAATTAGATTCAGAGCGGCGGTTGGTAACTCCCAATAATCACCGAAGACGACAGCTGTTTTGCGAGCGGAAATCTAGAATAGGTTTCGGACTCTTGACGATTAAATTCGAATCGAACACTGAGTGCTGATTCGGTTTCTAGAAAGAGGAGGAGGACGAGTTGGGTTGGGGGGGAGGGCGGGGGAGAGGGCGGGGATTTGAAAGAATCTGTAACTCGGGAGAAGGGGAACCTGGCCTGGCAGCGATGGTCCGAGGTAAGGGCGTGGAACATTCTAATGACCAAGGCAATGGTCGATTTCAGGATATAACGATTGATGTAACGTGTAAGCGAGCCCCGCAACACATTTCGAACAGAAGGACCAACTCAACGCCAGCCCGTGGGATCCCGTATCGGTGTGTTGACGTGGGGGGATCGATCGCCAATATCGGATGTGACAAGATCGGGGCCAACATCACAGGCATGCAAAATAGTGGTAGTGGGCTGTATTCCAATATCGATCCTTCGTAAGGTCGATTGCAGAGAGGTGATGCGTCGGGCGTGTAACATAGGGCGATCGATCGTCCAATGCCGATCCGCCACCGCACTGAAACCACGACTATTGCATCCAAACATTCTCAGAACCTATGCTAAACCCGCCAAAAAAACAATCCCGACGACGATCGATCCCCCAATGTAACAAGCCCTTGGGCTGGCCATCTCTTCTCCCCCTTCACACTTCACAGATCTCCTTCCCTCCCCTCCCCTCCCCCCTCAACCCCCTCCATCCACTTCCCCCCAAAACCCCTCCCCCCCACTTCCTTTCCCTCCCCCACTTCTCTTCATAGTTCCCCCATCTTCCCCCTCCTTTCCCGCACTCACGACGACGAGACGGTTCTGTCTGTACTGTACCGCGTCCCAGCGCTAAGTGTTGGATTCGAATAGAATCGTGAAGAATATTTACCTCCGATTTCCGCATGCACAACAGCTGTCGTCTGGCTGTCTTCTGGAAGTTACTACACAACAGCCAAACCTCGTTCTAATATAGCATGTGAAGTCACAACAGCCAAGCCTCGTTCTAATATAGCATGTGAAGTCACAGCAGCCAATCCTCATTCTACAATCAAGGGACCGCAGCGACACGACATGCTTCAGCGGCCTTCGTGGAAAGCGGGGTTGTCTTTAGGTCCAATCGGCAGTCGTAATTAGAGGAATTACCCATGTGCGATGGTCACGTGCGAGAACATTAGGCTGCGATGCCGGTCACGCACAGACTGAGGTGACTCAGGCGGCATTCGTTCCGAGCTCTCGATTTCATGTCGCGGGTGCCGGCGCCATTCAGGAATTTCTAGACACGTCTGTATTACGTGGCACGAACTTCGTGAATGGCTGTATCCCGACATCGCGCGATTTACGGCTCACGTGCTTTGCCAGCGTTGGCCGTACAGCGACGCATACTCTAATAGAGTAGTACAGCTCACAGAGCAGTATGTTTCGCTTGCAAGTGCTACTCGCAGCTCGCGCGACGCGACAACTCCCTCGAGCCATACATACTACAGCGACGCATACTCTACAGCTCACAGAGTGGTATGTATCGCAAGTGCTGGACTGGGGGAGTTGTCGCGTCGCGCGAGCTGCGAGGAGCTGGCGCCTGTTCCGGCGGCGAGATATCGAGAGAAGTGCAATACTCCTCGAATCAACTATTCCAAGACATCCGGGTATATCCTGAGCTCAGCTCTCGCGATGTTTCTCAGCATATAATGTCCTTCATTAAATGGTTTTCTGCTCAGTACAATCAACTTGAAGAAAGAGTGTTGTAATTCATCGCCAATCATCCTCACCCAGTCCGCCACTGCGACAAACTCGCACTTTCGCAGTTTTTCCCCACCACCGCTGAGCCACGCCGCTGCTGTCCACGTCGCCTCCACTTGCCGCTTCAACTGTTTTCGTTCGCCTCTGAGGCGGCGGCTCCTGCTGTCCCGCTGTTCCTGCTGCCTACCCTGGGTCCGCCATTAGTGAGCGTGAGCCACGCCGTGTTTTACGCTGGAGCAACTGACAACCCGCCAATCCGCAACCCATGGCGGCCCACCATGATCTCCCTGATCACGAGCATCTGCTCGCGCTCGCAAACCCGCTGCTTTTTCACCCCCCGGATGTTTCCCCTCACGACGATTCAGCTGGCAGCCCGGCGCGCGTCCGCCACATCGACATGGGCGGGAGCATTGGCGTAGCATCAGCCCTTTCCCGCAGAACGACTTTTGAGACGTCTCAAAACCCCGCGCGCGTCCGCCACATCGACATCATGGGTGGAAGCAGTGGGGGATGGGGCAGGGGAACGAAGCGGGGGCAGCGTGCGGAGCGGGGAGGAGGGAAGCGGGGGAGAAGGCAGGGGAAGCGGAGGAAGGGCAGGAAGGGCGGGAAGTTGGCCCTTTTGCTTTAAGGGGAACGGGGAGCGTGGTGCTGGTGGGGGGAGGAATCCAAGCACCGCCTCCACGTGGCACGACTGGATTGGCTCGAGAAGCTGGCAGGAGCAGCAGCAGCAGGAGCAGGAGCACCTGCAGCAGCTTCAGCAGCTTCAGCAGCGGCTGGAGCAGCAGCTCCAGCGGTGGCAGCATCAGCGGCAGCAGCAGCAGCAGCAGCAGCAGCAGCAGCAGCAGCAGCAGCAGCAGCAGCAGCAGCACGTGCAAGCATCTGTAGAGGAGATTGCGCAACAGCAGAGTCCTTCACCTCTTCAAACGGCTTGCCATGGAGGCAATAATCCCCTGCTGCACTCCCCTGCCCTCCCCCCTCTCCCCCTCGCTCTGCTGCCAACACACACCTTGACAGCCTTCCAAAGGCTCTGGAATCACCTACAGCCTCAGCAACTGTTGCTGCCTTCTCCTCTGCACCCGCTGCTGCCACACCACCTCCCGCTTCTCCCTTCAAAAGCACACGCTCTTTAAGCTTCTCGCCTGCCATCCCGCGCCATGCCGCCACTCCCTATTCAAGCAACAGTGCTCCCGCCCATCCCTCGGCAGTCACATCTCTTGCGAGGAACATGGGATCAGCCAGAAGCCCGGCGTGTGCCTCAGTTGATCTATCCCTTCCCCTTGGGCTGAGCCCAGAGCGAGAAGAGACAGAGACAGAAGAGACAGAGACAGACGAGAAAGAGCCTGCAGGGGGGAATGATGAAGGAAGTGCGCGTGGAGCAGAGGAGCAGAGGGGGGTGTCATCCTGGGGGTTGGTGTCCATGCCAGGCCATCAGTGGTATGCCCCTTATGGGCAAAGCACCTCGTGTGACGTTGGGTCTGATAAGTCGCTACAGTGGGTTCAGTCGACACAGTCGATGCACGCTACAGTCACCGCAGTCGCTACAGTCACCGCAGTCGCTACAGTCACCGCAGTCGCTACAGTCACCGCAGTCGCTACAGTCACCGCACTCGCTACAGTCACCGCACTCGCTACAGTCACCGCAGTCGCTACAGTCACCGCACTCGCTACAGTCACCGCAGTCGCTACAGTCACCGCAGTCGCTACAGTCACCGCAGTCGCTACACTCGGCCTTGCAGCTTCGAGCGACCCTGTATGTCGTCTCAAAGCTGTTTGGCCAGGAAAGGGGCCGAGCTTCCGGCTGCCTGTGCCCCGCGTGGTTGTGAGACGCCTCAACAGCCGAGCTTCAAGGCACCTGTGCCTCCGCGTGGTTTTGAGACACTCCAAAGGCGAGCTTCAGGGCACCTGTGAGCAGGGCACGTGGCATGCGGCGCAGGAGCAGCCCTTTCACACTGCCAGCTGTTCCCGAGGGCTATGCACTGCCGCATGGTAGCACCTGGGCATGTGAGTTTGCTAATGCTGCTGCTGCTGCTGGTGCTGCTGCTACTACCGCTGCTACTACCGCTGCTACTGCCGCTGCTACTGCCGCTGCTGCTCTTTCTCCTGCTGCTGTTCCTGATGCTCCTGCTCCTGCTCCTGCTGCTCCTGGTGCTCCTGTTGCTGCTGGTCCTGCTCCTGCTGCTGCTCCTGCTGCTGCTCCTGCTGCTGCAGCTGCCGCATGTGTGGGAGTGCGAGGGGTGTAAACACTGGCGCGGGACAGCATCTGGGAGTGTGATTCCGCTGCTGCTGCCGCTGCCGGTGACCCAGAGGAGGACATCTCCCGTGGTGAGAGCAGGGGCAGGAGTGTGTACGAGCGCCATGCCTTGCTGTACCAAGTCAACCTGGATCGCCACATGAGGGGCGAGAGGGGGGTGAGGGGTGAAAGTGGGACTGGGGGCGAAGGCGAGAGGGCCAAGTGTTCCAGAAGGAAATAAGGCAGAGGGAGTCTGCTGGTGCTGCTGCTGGCACAGGTGAGGAGGGACAAGGCAACCAACTGGGAATAAAGCAGAGAGAGTCTGCTGGTGCTGCTGCTGATTACAATAATTTACACAGGAACAAAACGTACTCACATTTGGACAAAGGTTACTGAAGGTTTTACACTTCCTGGCAGGGGCTCAGATTCGTTTTAGCCTAGGCTGAAACGTCAGACTTAGGAGGGTGCTGTTGGCTGATCAATCAGTGTCTTTTGAAAAAAAAAAACCTGACTTTTCAGTGTTTCCATTTTTTTAAAAGCTGACCCAGAACGGTACTGAAACTACTCCAGCCATATCCAAGTCATCCTCATATTCATCCTCATCATCATCATCACTATCACTAGATAAGTCCAGTGCATCTACGGGCTTAGGGTCATCTACTTCCATGGCCGCAGCTTTCCCCTTCTTGCAGGTTTCACCAAGGGTGGAAATGGGGGCGTTAGAAAATGGTTTCCTCTTCTTGTAGCTTCTCCAGATGTCCACCACCTCGTCAAACACCGGCTCGTACTGCATCAGAGACAAGCACATGAGATCTCCCAGTCTTGCATCCTTCAGCCCACCTCGAAGCCACGACTTGATGATATTTTGGCGCGAGAAACCCCTTTCGCACTCCACAGTGCTAAGGGGAATCACCGCCACCGCTACCCACAGCTGCACGAGGTTGGGGTAGCTCTCCTGCCAGTCCGGAGTCTTCAAGATCGCGGTGAGACCGTCGTGGAACGCCCTCTTCCCCTTTGGTGCAGCAGCAAGTTCAGAGCAGAAGAGCCGAAGCTCCTTCTGTGCCTGCCGCTTGTTGATTCCTGGAAGGATCAAAAGTGGGTTTAGGAAGGGGCAGACAAGGCAGCACAGGTTACTAGATGGAGGTGTCAAAGTATATGCATGTTATATATGTGTAGGCTGTAGTGGGGTAGCCAATATGGGGTACAGCCCCTTTTAGGGTTTCATACTTGTACCCAACTCTTTCATAGTTGATTCATTCCTGTCTCTAGATTCTGACATGGTTTCAGAGCAGTAGGTCCGTAGGACCGTTTTTTTTTCGGGCCCACCTACCGCTACCCCACGACTGTGACTGTGACTGTGCCTGTGACGTGCTGCGCTGCGCGCGCCGTCTGCCTGCTGCCTACTGTCTGCTGACTGCGCGGTCTGCTGCTGCTTAGAGCGCGCAGACCTAATTCCTGCGCGCGGCTCGATTTTTGCCCCACGCGTCGCCCACGCTGCCCGAGTCGCGCCTCGGCAGCCCGCGCGCGGCTCGCTGCTGCTCCGCGCGCCGCATCCGCAGCCCGCGCGGCGCGCTGCAGCCCCGCGCGTCGCGACCGCTGCCCGCGCGTCGCGCTGCAGCCCCGCGCGCCGCGACCGCTGCCCGCGCGTCGCGCTGCAGCCCCGCGCGTCGCGACCGCTGCCCGCGCGTCGCGCTGCAGCCCCGCGCGCCGCGGCTGCCGTCCACGCGCGCGCCGCGGCTGCCCCTGTTCGACGCGCCGTCGCTTCTGCAGCAGCTGCCGCGGAGCGCCCTGCCACGGTCGCGGCCCCGCCCTGCAGAAGCTGCCGCGGAGCCTCCTGCTGCTGTCACGGCCCCACCCTGCAGCAGTCCTCGCGGCCCCGCCCTGCAGCAGTCCTCACGGCCCCGCCCTACAGCAACTGTCGCGGACCTGCTCTACCGCCGACGCGGCCCTGCTCTGCCGCAGCTGTCGCGGCCCGGCCGCCGCCCTGCTTGCCCGGCGAGCGCCTGCCCTTCCCGCCACTGGTGAGCACCTACCTTGTTCGCGCGCTGCCGCGTCATCTGCCTGCCTGCCTGCCTGCCTGACTGCCTACCTGCCGCACCTGCCCTGCCCGCACTGTTACTGCTGCTAGGCTGCTGCTGCTGCTACTGCTGCCACTTCTGCTACTGCTGCCACTTCTGCTACTGCTGCTACTGGTGGTGGCCAGATGCAGCTCCAGCGACGTCCACGCGAGTCTCTCCCGCCCCAGCAGCTACGTGAGTGGTACGCTAGTTGGGGTTGTGGCGGTAGCCGTCGTAGCTGTCACCCTGGAGCTGGTCAGTTGGGAGCGTCTGGCAGTGGCCAGCTGCAGCTGCAGCGGCGTACACGCGAGACACTTACGTCCCAGCAGCTTCACGAGTGGTACGCTCAGAGTAGAGGGTCTCGGAGTACCGTTCGCTGCCCGTACGTCATTCGCACAGGTGATCGGGCTGGTCAGGCTTGCGGGACACTTGGTCACACACAGTCCCGCTGCTTCGCCCGTCTGAGCGACGCCTGGCGTACCGAGTTTGGCGACGAGGCTGAGCTCCCCACCTGGCTGGAGCTGCTTGGGCAGAGGGTAGATATCTTTGCTCTTGACTATGATGCTATTCTCACTGCCATGTATGCATTGCCTACTAGTGCTGACCGTGCCTGTTACTTGTGCGTACCGCCTGACCCAGGTATAGAGCCTGCTGCCCTAGGTGCTGGTGAGGCTGCTGCTCTAGGTGCTAGTGCGTCTCCTGCTCTAGGTGCTGGTGAGGCTTCTGCTCCTGGTGCTGGTGAGTCTGCTCTCTCTGGTACTGCGACTGCTGAGGCCTTGTACACCTTCACACTTGACTCAGGTGCTTCTCGCTCCTTCTTTCGCGACAGCACCACCCTCACGCCGCTCCGTCGGCCGGTTGCAGTCTCCCTGGCAGACCCCTGTGGGGGTCCAGTCCTTGCGCACTCCTCCACGGTCCTGCCGTGTCCGGCGGTCCCGTCTGGCTCCCTGTTCGGTCTTCACCTCCCCTCGTTCTCTACGAACTTGGTGAGTGGTGCTGACCTCCAGGACCAGTGGGTTGACCAGTTCACTCCTGGAGGTCAGCGCGTGACCCACTGTACGTGCTCCCGGACGGGCCGGCACCTGGCCACGTTTACTTGTGCGCCTGGCTCGAGTCTGTACACACTGACTACTGTGTCCCCTCAGGTCGCTGCGTCTGCGTCTGCGTCAGGTCAGCTAGCGCCCCCCTGCTCGTGTCGCGCTTTGTCGCACCAGACCCTCCTTTGGCACCACCGCCTTGGTCACCCCTCGGTGCAGCGCCTTCGTAGCATGCACCGCCGTTTCCTTGTCTCTGGACTTCCAGAGACTCTGCCTCCCCTCCCACCCTCGCCTGCTCCTCCCTGTCTTCCCTGTGTCGAGGGGCGGCAGCGCGCCGCTCCTCACTCCTCCTTGTTTCCCCCGACGACTGCTCCCCTGCAGACCCTGCACATGGACGTGTGGGGCCCAGCCCGCGTCCGTGGGCAGGACCGCGAGCGGTACTTCCTGCTGGTTGTTGACGACTACTCGCGTTACACCACGGTCTTCCCCTTGCGCACCAAGGGTGAGGTCCCTGATGTTTTGATCCCTTCGATCCGCGCTGCCCGTCTCCAACTCCGCGAGCGGTTCGGGATGGAGTTTCCCATCCTGCGTCTGTACTCTGACAGAGGTGGGGAGTTTTCCTCCGACCTTCTGCAGAGCTTTTGTCGTGGGGAGGGCATTCGCCAGACGTTCACGCTTCCGGCCTCTCCACAGCAGAATGGGGTTGCTGAGCGCCGCATTGGCTTGGTCATGGAGATCGCTCGTACCTCCATGGTCCATGCGGCTGCCCCCCATTTTCTGTGGCCGTTTACAGTCCGCTACGCCGCGCATCAGCTCAACCTC